TGTGTGTTCTTGTGGGGTTCATCACTAAAGAATTTCATCACCTTTTCCGTGACCAATAAATAAGAATGATGAGCCCGACCAAATTCTTGTGGACGAGAATAACATGAATATAGCTTACTCATGCTACACACACACACCCAAACACACACCCACACCCCCTCCCTCCCCCCCCCCCCTCCACACACACACGCACATAGACGCATGAATCACTCATGCTCCCACCCCACCCTTTCTCTGTTGTGTGTGTCTCTCTCTCTCTTTCTCACGCACACAAAATGAGCAATGCGGACATGAATTAATACAACAAAACCACTAGCTTTCACCCGAGAGGTTACCCTCATCTCGCTTCATTAATAGATAGCTTACTATCCTGGAATTTTGGACACAGAATTATGCGAAACTGGTTTAAAGCTGAATATATTCAAGAATGTGTCGATTTAATATATTTACAATATTTATAATTGTCCTAAGACAAGACAATCTGATCACAGGAAAACAAATTAATATTGCACAATCAACTATTCCGAGCAACAGAATGGCGATTACAAGCAATCACCTACCGTCGAACGAAGCAAAAATAAACATAAAAATTGTCTGATCGAGAAGTAAACATGAAATAGCTTATCGCCTGATAAAATTCAGTTGTTTGTTTTGATTACCGTCCATAGAGGCGTGTGTTAATGTAACTGAGATTGTTTATACCGAAGACGGTCTCAGTCACCACTTTTGTTGTGTTGATATGTTTTAATTGTTAATTGATTTGCTGCAATTACTTTGGATTGCATTTGTTGAGACCAAGTGAGCACCCGATGTTCAGTTAGTTCAGTTTGACCAGTCTAGAGCGGCAAGGACAGGAGTCCTGCTATACTGGCCTTCAATAGCTGTCATAGTGACACTTAGGACAATTAACGTAACATTAAACTGTTGTTCTTTGTATGAGAGTTAAGTTTGTTAATAAATGTTATGTGTTGCTAAAAAAGAGACTTTCATGCTAACACCTAAGAGTATTAACCCTCATAACTCATGCTCCAACAAACTAAGACTATTTCTTGCATTTAATGAGGAATTCGAACCTGCTTCATAGCCCAATCACCAATACAAAATTGGTGTGAGGACCCATAGGGCCCCTTAAGATCACCACAGGCAATTAACGAGCTAACGATCTAGTAAATATTCGTACCAGGGAATTGGACTCCGGTGGTTGCTTTCGCCTTTTATTTCAGTTTGAAGTATAATCTCACATCTGACACTTAACGTGTTGACTTGAAATTGAAATAAGTTTATTGAGGTAAAATACACACAAAGGGATGAGGTAGCTCAAGCTATTCTCAACCCATTAAATACGTGTTGACTTTGTGCAGTCCTTTCTAGAACACCGAGTAAAAATAAATCTCTTCACACTTTCCTCATCAAAGTGTCCTTCGTACTAGTTATATCACACCAACAAATCTATCTAGTATCTCCTCGACAATATGCTTAACATTTTTGTCAACATTAATGATCACTGCCTCTATAAGCACCGTTCTTCCTTAGTTTCTCGTTATGACAAATTATGCCTTACACTAGACTGCTCCCCTGATCTTGACTAATCTTGCAGGAAACAGATCTTGTAATACCAATGTTATTACATATCGTTATTACATAAAGTACATATCAATAAAAAAATAAAATGTACACTCACCTTCAGTCACTGCGTCACATACAATTACAATGGCATCTCCTAACTACCAAATAAAGATGATTAAAAGATCTTTGGTTGATCACGACAGTGGATCAATTCTCTTTGACTCAGTGTGGATCTCCTCTCTCTCAACGAATTATTCTCTACAGGTGAATAGTAGCAGCACCAAGTAACTCATCATCAGATGAAGCTACCTCTTCTCAGCTACGACATCAACCTCAAAACTTATGGTGCGACAATACTTGTCTCCAGAAATCATTTGGCGCCTGAAGTTTACCACTTTCGTCTGCCACTGTGGAAATGTCTCTTCCTGACTTGCGTGTGGGGGTCAGACACAGCACTAACTTCGGTTCACCTGTCACACTGTCCTCACCTGGGACAAGCAAAACTTGTAGGTTCTAGGAAGGACGCCATGCCCATTCATCCTCACTGGCTTCAGAATGTCGCTCCCGTCCCCATGAATCTAGGCTCTCGCCCTCTCCTACCTGACAGAACTTGCCTCTGTCAAGGTTACCAGCACTTCCTTCACCAAGACGCATACCTTAAACTTGAAGTAGCGAGAAGCGTGTGACCTCTTCGAACCTTCACACTCGCAAGTGACGTGCTCACCAATCATAGAGCCTCTGCTCATGATACGTCAAAGCCACGCTTCTTCCTCATTGGTTAATAATGACATCCACAAACTCTTTCCCCCTGGGAAAGTCAGATGTGGTCGCCATCTTTCCATCCACCTATCTTACTCAGAGACAAACAAAAATACTCCAAACCACGCCTCTTCTCTCTCATACGACTTTGTTTTACGCTACAGACCGTGCTATACATCCGGTTTTAGTCAACATCTTGCCTAGACGGGGAACAGCTTTCATCCTAGGAAGAATCTATGTCAAGAGGTTATCGGGGTTCACAATAGTGGGTAACCACTTATCCCCAAATCGTCAACATCTACTCGGGGACGACGGTACTCATTAATAGAGGTTAATTGGGACGTACCTGCCAGGTGGTGTGTGTGTGTGCCTCTGTCCCTCGACGAACTTTCACTTACCTGCAATATTAAAAAAAACAAATCATCAGTAACGCGAATTCTATCTTTGCTCCGTGTATAGCAAACTCTCCCTATATCAATACCCCCTAACAATCTCTCTGATCTTTGAATATGGTCAAGATGCAAACATAAATAGGAAGGTGGAGGGCTGTCTTAAGAGCACTGTAGGCCCAGTGTGCGCAAGTGCTAAGACGGCATTGGCTGGGTGGCAGCAATTGCTCACCTGGCGACGGTGAGGACGATGTCTTGGCGTCTCGCCGGGCAGACTCCAGCCGGGATCCTCTCGCTGGCAACTCCATCTCTGCAACATTATTGTAACTCACTTTAGCTCACTACCATAATTTGTTTGAAAGTTAAGATCATCACCCCCGGCGTTACACAAACTTCCAGCGAAAATAAATAAATTGAACTTCCTGAACTGTAACAATTCCATATTTAGGACTTAGTTTGTTTTTACCTAAAGTGCCTGGTTCTACATGAGCTTGAGATGCTGCTCCTGGGACCGGTTGTTACGGGTCGTGATTAAACAGCAGGTTAATTCGAGGATTGGATGTAATGTTTGAATGTTACCACAATTAATCATTCGTTACACTACCTACAGTCATTTAAACAAATGAGAACCTAACCTTACTCGAGTCGAGTAAGGAATTTATCGCTAAAAGTTCCATGGAAGCTGGCACAGGTTCCACAGACTAACTTAAACTGGTTTACGAAGAGCTAAATACGACTCTCAGAGAAGTATCATGTAAGGATTTAAACAGCACCGCCCCCTCCCTACGTCCATAAGCCAGCAGCCTAGTTTATATATGTTCTTGCTGTTGATGTAGGGGGCGAGGGAGGCGCCCCGCCACCATAATGGTGTTTATGACTTCCTTTGTTATCCTCCGTTGTTGGTGGTGGAGTTGACTTACGAGCCCACGACAGCACAGGTGCTGGACGCGTCCCCGTGTAGGCCAGGACACAGTCTTGTGGTCGCAGACACGTTATCTGTCGGCGGGAAATCAGTGTAGTTCGCGACAGGAAGTAATCCTTCCTACTGCTTGACCTGAAGGCAGAACGGCGCGCGCAAAGAAAACGGGAATATTGGCGGGAACTATGCAAGGGTTAAAGATTATCCAACAAGGGCCAGTATAAGTGTTCTTAAAACAAAATACATATTATAAAAATGATACGCAAGTGTCATTAAGTTACATGCTTGTTTTCATTTGACCAAGTTCGAAGCACTGACTCCATATGTACTTTAATCAAGTCCTAAACATAGTCCAGGACTAAAGTAATATCTCAATAAATATACACAAAAGAAGCTCAGCATACATTCTGTGAATATTGCCTTAAGTGGAGGATGTATTGTTTTAAATAAACATATTGGTGCTGGGTTACCAAAGCCCTAGCCAATGCCACACGAAGTAGCATTATAGATACAAGCATTAATGTCAGGCCGAATGACACTTGCGAATAATTTAACCTGGTGTTCGATCTCCGATGGTTCAAGTGCTTGGGCACCGTTTCTTCACTCCGTCCTTATATCCCTGCACTTGTCCTCACATCCCTTCCAAATACTGTATAGTCATATTGACCCAGCGCTTCTCCCAATTGTACCTTACCTTCATTGTATAACAATGTCCTTGCAGGTGTGAGTGTGATAGTTTATAACAGTGTGCTTGCAGCATTAGTTTGGCGGATTAAGTAAAGGTAATACATACTGCTCTACTAACCCTCGTGTGTTCAGGAGAGCTCCAGGTTGCAATCCTTCTGACCATGTCGTTGCCTGATTGTCTGGGGCGTGTACGTGGGACTACCCACCGCATAGGTTCGAATCCTCATCACGGCTCCTTCGGATCCTCTGTTCGAACCACAATTCTATAAATGCTTCACCCACGTACTTCAAATACAAATAAACAGCAACAGAACTTAAACACCTAACCTAAGCTACGCTTAACTGTACATAGAATTTTTATGTAAATAATATTAATTAATATGAGAACAAATCAATGCTTAATACACAGTAAATTAAAATTGATGAATGAGTCTTTGGACGACGGGCGTTGCTTTAAACAGCCTACTGAGAGGACGGGATGGGGATTTTCTCATTGATACATCACGTTAGTGTGATTACTGTCTCTGCATTGCCCTACTCTTGCTATCCAACGGGAGACGGACCTTAATCACAGCTCTTAATACACATGGGATGGGGCACCTCTGATGATGGTTCACGTAAACCAAGTACTTCCCTGGCAATATATCAATTTGAAAACATCTCTGCATTTCCTTTTACAGGGCCAGTATAGGATGCAAACGCTGCTGCTGCTGTTTCAAATGGGCCTGGTGCTCCTGCTGCTGACACAGTGGACCTGCGGTGCACTGTGGCCCTTGAGGACCTTCATAGTGAGGGACATGACCTTACAAACAAAAACAAGTCTCATCGAGACCCTCACTACCACCAGCGTCTGTGAGTTTCTCTTGTGCGGATACTTCTTCTAACATAATTTATGTGTGTGTGCTTCTCTGCGTGCTTGAAGGGTGAGCTTTAGCTCCTGACCCTTCAGTCACCAATAATTAGTTACGTTTAGGGTAATTGGCCGATAGTTCGATTCAAGCGATTTCCCTCCTTAATGACTGGCACAAAATTTGCAACTCTGCACGATTCCGGTACTTTTATCGACTGTAATGACTTAATATAAAGGTCAAGAGTTCACTTAGCTCGTTACATTCTTTTAGGACCCTGACAAAAACTTCATCTGGTCCTGGGAATTTATTTTGCTTTAAATTCTCTATCTGCTTAATAACTTTCTCCCTGATGACAACTAAACAATTCAACTTGACTTCACCACCACCTTCATAGATATGTTCAGTTCTTCCCTATTAAACAGAAGAGAGATTTGTCTGCTGGCCACTAGAAGGACCAGACGTGTTTAGAGTGGGCTCCTCAGTTGGTGCACAAGCCGAGGTGGTGGAGGTCGTATGGCTGGGTCTGGCTCTGGGTTGGTGCTCTGCCTGTGTGGAGTGAGAGCCTTCTAGCATGGGGTCTACCTCGTCTTCCTTGAAGAGGGTGAAGGAGCGGGCACCATTCGCGTCGCTAACCTAAGTGTGATATTGACGGATGTGGTGGTGCCCCAGTTGAAATGACAGATGGGCTGTTGACCCGGGTGTTTGGGCATTTTGGAAAAGTCTTAAGCATTTGATGGAATAAGATCTCTGCCGGCCACTGTACGGGGATGCTTGCAGGCACCCGGACAGTGACGATGTCCCTGGACCGGAGTATCCCATCTTCGTTATCCCTGATTGGGTTTACGCTCCTTTGTCTGCGGGTGCTTCCGATCCCGTGGTGCTCTTCCACTATCTGGGTGCCGCGGGTGAAGGAGTTTGTTTATGGGGTGCCGGATGGGATGTCTCAGCCAAAGGCGCCGCCTGGTGGCCGGGTGTCCTTTGACACGTTGATGATTTGGGAAGCGTACTGCTTGCGCTTTCCAATATACCAGTTCCCGAAAAAGTATTAGTAGGCGTCTTGCGCACAACACTATGCCATGGATCCCGTGATGCTATGAACTGGACATCCCGCCCTACGGTGTGGCAAGTCTCCCTCTACCATCCACCTCTGTTTTAGTCGCCGCTCCTCTATCTACGGCACGACGCAACTAACACTTTTGATATTCTTATCCTCCTCAACGTCAATGCATCTCCCAACATCTGTCCTGGTGCAGTCATCGGGAGGGTTAACCCTTCATGCACACTGCACCTACTCTCAAGATGAAGGGTTGTATTGGTATGGTGGTCGGGTGTTGGTGAATGAATCCTGTGCTGTTGGTGCACTGTTATGTGTTTGATATCTTACTTTTATTTGTATATATTTGCTGTTTTATAATAAAGAAAAAAGTAAACAGAGGCAAAATATATATTTAGAATGTCATTCATGTCTTTAATCATTAAATTACTTGACCTAATTAAATGTTCAAAGGACTACACTTTGGTCTATCAAACAAGCTGGATGAGGTAGGGGTAAACTTTGGATTAATTCAACTGCAGTTTAGGCGACATTTAAAATATACCTTCAAACAGGCAGGTGCAAGATGAGGTGTCTGGCGACTGTCAAATGCGTGTCGTTTTCAGCGGAGAAAGTGGCTGATCAAAACTTCCTTTGTCGCCTGTCAGCTAATACTCCCAGGGGAAACAAACCTATCAGCCAGCAGGATGCAGTGTACGGCTTCAAGCTGGGTAAGTATAGAGTTACGAGATGGGTAAGTGTAGGGGTAGGAGCAAGATAGGTATAGGGGTTACCAGTTACATTAGTGTTGGTGAGGTTGAGCTGTATAAGTGTGGAAATACAAGTTGGATAAGTGTTGACCTACTAGCAAGGTAAGAGTGGGCTACGAACTGGATAAGAATCAACTATTGGATGTACATATAAAGCACGGAAGGACATATGTACTATTTCACGTATTCACGTATGTCCATAGATATTACTTCCCGTTTTAAATATGTTCATATATTTTTTGAGAGTAAATAGAAGGTTGCGTAAGAGATTAATATTCGCCGACATGCAAAGCATATACACGGTATTATTTAATTTAATGGACAATGTGAACATTTTACCGGATGTGTGTGCAGCTTTGCTTGTCAGGGACTGCGATTAACAACTCCTTTCCTTATAGAAAGAATATTTGATATCAATCCTTGTCTAATAAACACCAGTCGTAATATGATCCATTTTATCTTCTAGCTAAACTCTCTAGTTACTTTGACGTGACGGAGGAGGCTGACGGCCTTATCTACTTCTCACCATTTAATATAACACAAAATGATATTCCTTCGGCCCGGTCATTCTGCAAAAAGTTTCCTGGGTTTCGTCTTGCCATCTTGAGGACGGACCAGCAGATACAGATAGGCATGAAGTTCTCGACGTGGGTTAGTAGTAAGTAGATATATTTGCTGTTCTCTTGATCTGATAAACAATGGTTTTGATGTACTCGTCACAGTTTGTTATATAGGCTTCTTTTCTTCAGAATTGTTCTTGTTTGTCACGGACGATCTTACTAGGGATCGTAAGTCACCCACTAACAGCGTCAGCTGGTATGAAACGAAGCATTTAAGTCACACACCACGTGAATGTAGCTGCCATGGGGATCACCGGGGAACAGCGGTCTGGCTTAGTAATTTGTATCTTGCATGTAAATTCAGAAATAATAGTTCGGCCTTATCCACAGCACTAGTAACAAGAGCCATGAGATTTGTGCCATAGTGTCGACTATCAATAGTCCATTTATTTTATAGACTCCTTGACTTCTTGTATAGCGTCTTGAGGCACTTGCCTTTTTCATCAATCGCAATTCTCAGCTTCCTGTGAACTAGTGTTGATCTGGTTTTTATTATCTTTATTATCTAATAAATAATATTGTCTAATAAATAATATTATCTAATAATAATATTTATTATTTTTATTATCTAATATGTTTTTATTATTTTGGGAATGTGAGCATTCCGGTGACTGGATACTTGGATTATAAACTTTTCAGCCAGGGTGTTAGCATCTCCTGTTAGGGTTACATCATAGCTTTTACTCTGTACGGACTCGTATTACTTGACCCCAAAGCAAAGTGGTAAGTGAACCTGCATTATATTCGATAGTCCCTATATAAAGGTTGTCGTACACTGCTTGATGGCCCAAGAAACATGCATAACCCATGGTCATATGGGCCGTGATCCAGACATAGAAATTCTCAATGGAACAGTCAGTGTGTTTGAACAGGGGAACTTAGTTTTTAGTTTTAAAATACTTTCAATTGCTAGCCGTTAGCTATGAGGTCAATTCACATCAACAATAACAGGAATCAGGAATGTCTAGCCGGGGCTGGAACCTCAATGTAGCTTATCAGAAGAAGTTGGTCATTAACGCTCTCGTCAGCACTCTCCCCCTCATGCAGTCAACCGCTCCCCTCCCCTCTCTCTCAAACATGCCATTCATCCCTTCCTTCGTTCATTCATTCATTCATTCATTCTTAAAAGAGGTTTGGTGATAATATGTATTCGCTGTACAGATAAAATGAGGGGATATGATCACCACATCCATTTATTTTTTACTTGGTATACTAGACAAAAATGTAGCAATAGACCATTATTAAAGCAAAACAGTGAAACAGAAATATTTACCACTGTTAATACATTTATTCAATGCTAGGTAAAAACATAACATAATGTAGTTACATCTTTTTTTATTCACCATCGTACCTTAACATAGTATAACTCTACGCCCCATTACTTACACTTTCATCTTACACACTTGCACACATGCTACACATATTCTAACTATCCTTACACACCCCCTTGTGACTAGTACCGCACGAGTGGGACAACTCTCACACCCCCGTGACTAGAACCTTGCGAGCGGGCACCCTCCTGTGACAGGTACCCCGTGCACCTGGGCAGGTGTGCCATACCCGGCACACCTGCCCAGGAGCGTGCGCGTGGTTCTAGTCATAATTTACACTACTCAGAGGCACCTATCTGCTACCCAAGTGGAACTTTAAACCTTTCCCTGGGTACCAACTTGGCATGCGGGTGTTAGGTGATCCACGTCCTAGCCATATAAATTACTAACCACCATATCATGGATAATAGCACTTCAGTCACCTGGACAACTGGAACTGATCACATAAACCGTAGCCTGACGCTGTTCCTACTGAGCTACCATTAATACCCTCTTTAAAAAGTCTGTTAGGATTTTATTGTAAAGATTTTATTGAAAAATGTGCCCAAATTGCATTACGAGGGTTGCCGGGGGTTGGTTGGTGATGGAACATGGTTAATAAGCCCCAGGACTAACCACTCCTAATAGGTGATCGCTGGGCAAGTGGTTTAGTACTCTGTATACCAGGGGGTGAGCCCTTGTACTGCAGGATCGAACTTTGATCGGGTCTTACAGTTATTTATGGCTTGGGGACCTTTCAAGCTCTCTTTTACATTTGTAGTTCTGCACTGTCTGAGCATGCATCAGGAACGTATGAAAAACTATGCGCAAACTGCGCCACGAGAGTTGCCGGGGATTGGTTAGTCATGAAACTTGGTTAATAATCTCCAAGACTAACCAATCCTTATAGACGATCGCTAGTGAAGTGGTTATAGTCCTCTGTACGCCTGGAGGTGAACCCTGGTAATGCAGGATGGAATCCTGGTTGGGTCTTAAGAGTTCTTCACTTATATATATACAGATATATTAATTTATTTTAGTAATATTGGAAGCAATAGCTGAATCATTAATCTCATATTTCTGGTTACTCTTGATACAGGTTGGGCACTCCGCATCGATCTGAATAAAACGGTATCCCAACTTAGCTGGGGAGACAGTACGTATTATGATTATCAACTGCAAAACAGGATAAAGGCCTGGGGAAATAGCGACGATGTTTCCTTCTCAGTCAATCATGATGGAATCCGTGTAATCGACGCACATAATACAGATCAAATCATTCTTTGCCAAGGCAACGATAAAGACGAGGCTTGGTAGAGAAGAGAGGTGATATGAACTGAGCTAATCTGCAGAAAAAGAAAACAGCACTTGGAACAGCAAAGACAAAAAATACAAATATTTTCTTATAGTATAGTTATTCCATAAATACCAGGAAAACACTATGGTCCAGAATGTTACATAAACACACTGTGTGTGCACAGGTTGTTTTAAAATGCCCGAAACGCTGCGCGTACTAGTGGCTTTACAAGAATGTGAACACCATGCTATGTATTCTCACAAATCCAATGTACCTTCTTGTATATAAATAAATAAAAATAAATAAATAAATTAGGCAAAATCAATGTCGTGTTCAGGGAGCAAGACAGGAGAAACCCGACCAAATGAGTAAACACTTTTAACTTGAACTGACCAACAGGGATAGTAAGAAGGGATAAAGAAGAGCGTAGACAAAATTAAAATACGGAAAAGAATAGGATAAAGGCTGGAGAGGTATTGGATACCTCTACAAATTCCTTTAACGAGTCGGCTAGTGAATCATATTCCAATCCATACACTGAAGGCGACCATCTTACCCTTGGCAGTCAGAGTTCACGACAAAAATTACTTGTAAATTATTTAAATTGTAAATTATTATAAATAAATAATTATAATTATATTAATAAATTATTAATTCAATGTAACTTGAATTACTCCATAACCAAATATTTCCCCACACAGACAAGTGATTATGGATACGAACGTCTTGTATACAATCATAATCAATTTGTACTTGTCTCACGTCTCATTGTACAGTAAGACTTTTTATACATTGTAGTGACCTCAGTGACTGCTACACTCTGGTATTCCAGTAGAACTTTGATATATAAACAGTTTCGCTTGGATATATACCATCTGCAGTTTCTTTTGTTATGTTCTAAGACGTTCAAGGTTCTGTGATGATAAATAATAAGTTCACTTATATTATGAGGGAAAGCAGAGTAGCAGTGGCTTCCTACTTGGCCTAGTATCCAATGACCGATTTAGCCAACGAGTCGAGTTTTCCTTATATTATATACTTTTCTAAAAAAAAATTTGTTAAGGATGATAAAGCTTTCCATTATATTATATACGATTATATTTTAATTGGAGTTAAACTAATGTAGAAATATGACCAAACCTAAGTCAGTAATTCATGTTCTTAATATACAGGTAATAATATTAATTTCAATAAACCAATTTGATTTTTTTTTAAATAACGAAAATCACTCAGACTGTTAGGAAAATCCGGCCTTGCATAATAGTCTAAGAAGTGTGTTCTGGTTATTAGGTACACACACACATTCTAATATATATATATATATATATATATATATATATATATATATATATATATATATATATATATATATATAATCATATAATTTTTATAATATGTACATATAATAAAATAATAATAATAATGGAGATTGTTAGTGTAACTGAAATTATCACTGCTATTTACTGCACGCATAATGTGAACCATTTTGACATGTTTGTTTCAGTTGAATAAAAATTAAAAAAAAAAACTTAGTTTGTTGATATCCTCCCTCGTATTAGATTACCACTGAGATGTAACAGCGCAGAGGTTGATATACAATACAGAAGACAGAAGAGTAAGGGAAGACATGATCACCACCTACAAAATTCTCAGGAGAATTGACAGGTTGGACAAAGACAAACTATTTAACACGGATGGAACACGAACAAGGGGACATAGGTGGAAACTTAGTACTCAAATGAATCACAGAGACATTTGAAAGAATTTGTTCAGTGTCAAAGTTGTTAACAAACGGACTGCATTAGGCAGTGATGTGGTGGAGGCAGACTCAATACAAAGTTTCAAATGTAAATTTGATAGAGGCCAATAGGCTCCAAAATCTGCACACCAGTTGACTGACGGTTGAGAGGCGGGACCAAAGAGCCAAAGCTCAACCCCCGCAAGCACAACTAGGGGAGTACAACGAACATAACCTTACTAAAGCCAACATACTAGTCATAAACAGTCCTCCACCGCGTAAGTATGACTGAAATGAGTAATAATTAGTGTGCCATCTACAGGCTAGGGCTCGCGCGGGTACATACAGGAACAATTCCTCTCTCACTCTCAAACATTCTTTATATATCGGCTTATGTACTCACCCAGTTGTACTTGCGGGCATTCAGCTATGGTTCTAACCTGCTGCTCACTTGTAACGATAAGATATATGAATATATTCAACAAAGTGTTTGAGCCACAAAAATAATCAAAACCCGGGAATGCGAGGCAGGATCAAGCATAACGTTTGAGGTTTACGGCTCATGCTCCGTGATATGAAAATTTGGTTTACTGAGAATTATATAAACTATATATAAATGTAGTATTTTCCCTTGTAAATTTAAGTAAATATGATCTTTATATGGTATATTATTTAATAAAGAACAAAAAACGGTAATGGCAACGCGTGGCTTGTTGTGGGTTAGGCTAAGCCTTCGTAACTTCTACGGAAAAGATCTGGCTATGATAGTTCCATCAGGACTGTGACATTATGGGCTTAAAAAGACATAATATAACAAAATATTTCTTACCGGCCTTCCAATTCCTTCAAACCATTTCCCTTCCGGATTTCGCCCCTTATAAAGCTCGGTCCACTCATCTCTTCCCTTCAATATTCCCGCGCACAGGAAGAAATGTACACATATGTTTATCACTTAGAATGTTCGGTAATATGATTACTATTTAAGATGGTCTATATCCCTTAAGCTGCGCAAAACGTCTTATGACGTCGGACATAAACCTCAGTTTATAAAATTTGCTGAAACGCTTTCAAATGTTTTGTGCATAATCTACTAGGCAAATGTTCCAACTTTGCCTAAATGATACCAACGTAACTTGAAAAATAATAAAATAAAAAATAATTATAAAAATGAATATTGAAAATTTCAAGTTTTGAAATCAGCTTCAAAAATATAAAATATCACCAATTGTTCATTTGGTGTTATTATGCTCTCAGAATAGCATGTGATCTTCATGTTCATATATTTAGAATATAGATTTTCCGTATAGTTTACTGTAAAAGAAAATCGTCAATATGTGATTTGAAATATGCGTAAATTTAGAGAACAACAATTTATAACTCCAAACGTTTAGGGTTTATGAAAAAATCAATTCTATAGGGATTGTAGAACAAACAGCCGTGCACACTATATGTAAAAATTTTGAGAATCGGTCAGAAAGTAGATTTTGGGATATTGAAGTAAGTTGAAATTCTAGTTATAGATATAATTGAAGTTGAAGTTATCGACAATGAATAAAGCAGTTCTAATTCATGAATTTACTTGTATGTTTAAATAAACACTTTTTGGCATTCATACTCGAATATGTGAAAGTTGTAGGCCAATATGTGTTGAAATGAAATCAAGAAAAAATAACCCCCCAATAAACAAAATATAGGGAAAATTATAATGATTTAGGAGACACATTTAGGGTATACTTTATATAAGTAAAAAAAAACTAAACTGGTCCCTACTAATCAAAACAGCCTAAAAAGACAAAGAAAACAGTTTGAAATCTGTGAAAAAATCAGCTAAAAAAATGTAAAAGTCCTGTGAGTTATGACCGATTTATTTGTTGACCAATTTCACTCTATCTTCACACAGTTAGGGACTGGATTTCCCTCTACAGGATGTGAAGGTTACAACAAAATTAGATAATAAACAAAGAAGAAAAAACTTTAAAAACTTAAAATAAAATCCCCCCCCCCCCTGTATGAAAAAAATGGACATTGATAAAAGTAACAGATATTAACATGGGGCAATGTATTTATATGATATATAACAAAATATAGCATAATAACATAATTATTATTTGTGTTATTATGTACTACTCAGCAATGCTATAAAGGCACCAGCTGCATATCCACTTTGTGGAAACTTCTTACTACTATTCTTTTATGCGTTGGTCAGGTGCTTGCATCTCTCACTGCATTATCCCTTAGTTCCAGTTAATAGGAGCTGTTCTCCTTATCAACAAAACGTCCTTCTTTAAAAAAAAATCGTCTAAAATCAATTTCTAAAAATATTTTCATGAAAGTTTCACGATGCTGAAGCCAGTAAGTTGGAGATTTGTATATCATTTTGAAGTAATTTTTTACATAATTCGAATATTTTTTGCTTCCTTGCCCCTTTTGCTGAGCAGTTTAATGGATATATGTATGAACACTTTGTACTGAACGGGGGTGAGAATAGCTTCAGCTATCTCATTCCTTTGTATGTATTTATAAATCAATAAACATATTTCATTTTCAATTTCTAATATTCCCTATCCCTAGGACGCTATCGTGGCCAGTTTCAGCTCCCGCCCCTCACCGCCCTCTCTTGCTGCAGCTGACCACCACCACTAGCGTGACTGGCACCACGACTGCGACTTAATATTATCAAGTAATTACTATCATAAACAGATGGATTATCAACATACAATTTATATCCTGTTGAAATTAGTTCTCTGTTGCATGAGATATGTGTTCAAGTGAGTTTGATCTTGGCTAACTTCTGAATCTGCTGATGAAAAATTCAGTCTGTAAATTTATCTAAATTCATTATTTAGTCCAAGTCTCACCATTCAAGTTGCAAGTACCTTATTCTCTTTGTCAATTACCTGTCACCTTCCTCATTTTAAGCGACAAAAACAATTGATGATTAAAATTAAATATCGGAATCAGATGTCTCGTTGTATAAGATTAATGACTAAAATAATGTCAATTGTCACGCAAGGCTCATATTTATACCCAGCCAGACTCATTCATATATCTTTCGAAGCTTCAATTGTCCAGCGATCCCACGTCAATTGTTTCATAAATCTAAAGCCCTCTTCCAAACCAGTATTTACCAGGACTTTCCTGGATCTAAACTTATCGAATTTGTGTCCACGGTTTCGTGTTCTATTTTCTGTTTAAATATTTAACACTCATTGAATATCGGCTGTCGTAAATAAATGCCTTTCATCCTTTTCATTACTTTAGTCGTGTCCACCCTTCTTGCTCTTAGCGTTTTAATAGAATGTAAATTAAACTTTCTTAATCTTTCTTCATAAGAGACGCTTCTAATTCTTAAGAAAAACTTTATCATCTATGACGACTGCTGTCTGTTTCCAAACGCTCAAATAAATCTATTATGTCGATCCAGCGGTGACCAACACCGAACTGATAAAATTATTTACCTCGTTAGGTCCCATTTAAGCTGAAGTATAAAGCTTCTACTATGAGATCACACGGTTAGGGTTATTAAAGTCACAAATGTTCAACGGAGGAGATGGTGGGTTGGACTGCTTGATTTGGAATGGTTGTTTCACGCACAGAGAAGAAGATGCTCGTGTTTATGCTTCAGTGAGGTGTGTTGTGAGTATAATATCCCCTGGAACTTGTACCCGGATACGGGCTCACCATAGCCCGTGCTACTTGGAACTTGTTCCGAGTAGCTGAATCTAAAATAACAACAATGTACCGGAGAATGTTTGCCACTAGCAGGCTGACCATAGTCTTGACGAAGAGAACGTGGTCGTTTCTAGCGATTCTTGCTGCAATGACACTGAACACTTGCCCTTGGGTACTGGAGTTGTTGCTGCTGTTTTTGTGGCCTTGTTTTGGGGTTGGTGTTAGGTGATGCTTGCACTTAGTTGTTCTTGGTTGAAACACTAATAATTTGTCGAAATAGGTTAGGGGAAGGTAGTCTGACTGATGTCTAAATCAGCTGCAATTTGTTGATGCTATTTGTAGCTTCTTTTTTTCAATGGCTTTATTTCGTCCTTCCTTCTGGGACATTTATGTGTCATTTTCAACACGGTGCATTTTCTGACGTTCTGAGAGCAGTCTTTGTAGTTGTGACAGTCCGAGCATGTGCTGCATTTTCCTTCCTGTTCGATGCATGTGTACATGTAGTAGGTCCATGGGAAGAATTTGAAGCACTACTTGAGACTTTAATGCATATCCTTGGATATCTGGCTCTTCTCCAATTGGTCTTCCCTACTCCCTCTCCCTCTATTACTACTCCAAGTGTGTTGAATATAATCTCATATTGTTGTAACATCGCTTGTATTTACTCCCTGGCAACGACAAATTTCAGTTGGTCTTTGATGTGCTAAACATTTGTCATATAGAATGATGTGGTTATGAGTTGGGCGTAAA